TTTTTTTTTTTTGTAGAAGTTCTCAAACTCCAAAGTGTGTTTCACACTTAAAGCACCACTCTGTTCAGGTGCTCATTTCAAATTTCAAATGCTAATAGTCACATGGTATTGAAAGCTACTATATTGGGCAGTACAGCCTTAAAACATAAAAATCCAAATTTCTGAATACACTTTACAAAGTCCCCCGTGCCTTCCTGGCCTTGCCATCTACACTCCCCGCACAGGACCTCCCGCTCTTTGCTCTAGCTTGTTATTGCTGCTCCTAGACTCTTTCACACTCTGTGACTGTTGCTTCTTCCTGGCACGTTTTTTATCAGGGTGTGCCGCTCCCACTCCGTCAGCCCTCTTTGCCACTCAACTACTCTCGTAGTGCCACCTCATTTGTTGAGTGCTCTCCTTATATTATCTTATAACTCTCTTACAGCATTTATACTATTCCTGTATATACCCTTTGGAAACTTATTTTTATTGACATATAAACAGTAAAGTACACAAATCTTAGTATACAGGTTGATGAGTTTTCTAAATCTATACACCAATGTAACACCCAGGTCAAAATATAAGACATTTACAGCACACCAGCAGATTGCCTTACGCCACCTCCCAGTCAGCCTCTCCTCCAAAAAAAATAGTATTCTTACCTCTATCACCATAAATTCCTTTGCCTGATTTTGAACTTCATGTAAATGGACTTGTGTAGTATATACTTTTGTATATGGCTTCCTTTTTTTTTTGAGAGAGAGTCTTGCTCAGTCGCCTGGGCTGGAGTGCAGTGGTACAATCTTGGCTCACTGCAACCTCCACCTTCCGGGCTCACACCATTCTCCTGCCTCAGCCTCCTGAGTAGCTGGGACTACAGGCGCCCACCACCACACCTGGCTAATTTGTTTTGTATTTTAGTAGAGGTGGGTTTCACCATGTTAGTCAGGATGGTCTTGATCTCCTAACCTTATGATCCACCTGCCTCGGCCTCCCGAAGTGCTGGGATTACAGGTGTGAGCCACCGGGCCCAGTATGGCTTCTTTCTTTCAATATTATGTCTGTAAGATTCATCCATGTTACTAACATGTAGCAGTAGTTGGTTCTTTTCATTGCTATATAATACTCCATTATGTAAATATGCCAATCAATTCTACTGGCTTATTTACTTCATGACGTTTAGATAAACTGGGTTGTTACCGGTTGAGGGCATTATGAATAAGCTTCTAGAGACTCTTTTTAAAAAAATGTTTGTCGGGCCGGGCGCGGTGGCTCAAGCCTGTAATCCCAGCACTTTGGGAGGCCGAGACGGGCGGATCACGAGGTCAGGAGATTGAGACCA